TGGGTGGTCCAGCAGGGGTGCGCCCGACGCGGATTCCATATTAGACCTCGCCTCCCCGACCGCTGTCAGTTGCGCAATTGTCGCCGCGTTCGGGAGCCCGTGGGAGGTCCTGCGGAGTGGTGTCTTAGGCAGATCCAGCTGGGACCCCGCCTCCCCGAGCGCTGACAGCTGCGCGAATGTCGACACCCTTCTGAGGCCCTGGGAGATGCAGCGGGGCGGTGCCTCACGCAGATCCAAACTCGACCTCGCCATCCAGGGCGCGGGTGGAGGAGGAGGAAGAGGAGGAGGAGGAGGAGGAGGAGGAGAAGTGAGAGAGAGAGAGAGAGAAAAAAAAAAAAAAAAAAAAAAAAAAAAAAAAAAAAAAAAAAAAAAAAAAAAAAAAAAAAAAAAAAAAAAAAAAACGCGTGTGGTGTTCTTTTCTGCGGGTCGCAACATGCCTGCGTGGGAGTTCCCCGGGCCCCGCATTGCCTCTTTTAATCGGTGGAGGACGTGCTCCGGCCCTGGGCCCGGGGATGGGCCTAGCCAGGTTCGGCGAGGTGGTGCGTCGACGTTCCCCGATTCCCAAGAGCCGAGATCAGGCCGACCTGATCTGCTCCAGGACTCCAGACCCAGACATCCAGCGGCTCGATTTGACCGAGGCACGGGCCCCCGACGTCTCCACCGCTATCCTGAGCCATCGTTTGACGGTCGCGCAAACTCGGTAAGGGCGCCGAGAGGCCGGAAACAGTGAAGAACAATCCCCGTTTCGATGCTTTCGAAGTCTGGGGGGATTTGGGGGAAGCGGGCGCCGCGATCGAATTGTCTGCGGGGGGCGGCGCGCCACACGCGCTTAAGGTACTTCGGGTCGCGCCAGGGAGACATCATGGCGACCATCTGCCCGATGCCGATCACCTTTGGCCCCCCTCCCCCCCTTTCCCATGAGGAGAACGAGGATAAGAGGGAGGGGACGGGGGGAGGGGGAGGACAAGAGGAAGAGACGGGGGAGGAGGAGGAGGAGGTGGAGGAGGAGGAGGAGGAGGAGAGGGAGGAGGAGGAGGAAGACGAGGAGGAGGACGAGGAGGAGAAGAAGGAGGACCTTTTTGGACCACTTGACCAAGCACATGAGGGTCGTGCGGGGGAGGGGGGAAGGGAGGGAGGGCGAAGACGACCCCCGCACGATGGAGCCGAAACCCTGGCGGGACCAGGGCCTAGTCGCCACCGCACCACGACTGCCACTTCCCCTTCCCCGCAGCGGGGGGGGGGTCGGAGCCAGCTGCCATGGCGGACGGGCCGCACACATCCGCAGGGGACGCGGCCGGGGCTCCCCTCGTCGGGCGGCTTGCGTCGCGCGCAGCGAAGGCAACGTGTAAGTCCTTGGGCCCCCCCTCTCTGAGAGGGTGCTTGCCTCCCTCGATGCGGCCGAAAGGGTCCTTGCCCTTGCGAGTGAGCCCCGTGCACTCTGAGGCAAGGTGCCTGCCATCCAGTTGGGTGCTTCCCGCAAGCGGTGAGAAGACTCACGAGGTAGCGCTCCAACCTCTGTACACCACGCGAAATGGTTAAGAAATCATGGGTTAAGAAATTCATGGTCTCAGAACTTGAATAAAAACCCACAATTTCTATCAAAATCTTAAGATTTACATTGAAACGTTAAGAATAATCGAGACTCTGGCCGAAAACTCAAGTTTTCCTAAGCATCGCCTAAGGTGTACTGCATGCGCCGGATGCACGCCTCTCCCTGCACTCCCGCACCCTGCTCCCGCTGCACCACCATGCGGCCGAGGAGGGGGGGAACCACGGCAGGTCGTGCAGCCCCCACGGGTGACTCCGAGCGCTGGCACCACCATCCTGCACTGGCCGAACCGCCGCGTGCCTCCCGCTTTTTGTTCGAGCGGTTGCTCGAGGCGGCGATGGCGGGTCTGAGTCGAAACGGAGGGGATCCTCTGACAGGCTTAAAACAGGGCTAGGATCGGGATAAATCGCTCCAGAGCGTTCCGGAGCGCTCTCAGAATGTTCTGGAACGCTCTGGAGCGGCCGCGGCGCCCAATACATCCCCCAAACCCGCCGATTCTCAGAGATTTCGAGTTATCCCGATCCGATTTTGTCCCGATCTTCGCGTCGTTTTAAGCCTGGGCCCGCTACCCACTCCATGGGTCGGCCTCTGCTGCCGGTGCCACGGCTCTTCTGGCTCGCGCTCGGACCGGGGCGCACGCGGCAGCCCAATGGTCCGCGCTAGGCTCTGTTCCGTCCACCGAAGTCGCCCACCCCCTGCCCGCCGCCAACCCCGCCCACTCATCAGCCCGAGTGCTGCCCTCGATTGAAAAAAATGTCTAACAGGTCGGCGCCACTGCGCGGGGCTTCGCCCCTGCGCGAGGATACCCACTTCAGGGCAATTTCCGTGGACCTCTTCGTGAGACCCACGCGAATCCTGGACCAGATATCCTGGTTCGCACCGTTCTTCTGTTCTTCTCGCGGAATCGGTGCTTGGACCACGAATTGACCAGTGGCTCATGGTCAGTCACGAAAAGGCTCATGGTCAGTCACGAAAAGATACTCTTGCTCTACATGCTCCACCGACAACGCGAAGGCCAGCGACCCTAGGCGGGGAACAGTCTGCCCACTTCCCCCTGGGGTAGAGAGTCGGGCCGGGCGAAAGGGGGGTTTGAGAATCAGCTCACGTAGCTGATTTTCCCAGCGCCTCCCGGCGCCGGGAGGCGCCCATGTATCGAGGAATGGGGCCAGCGGCGGGGCCGAAACCAGCTGCATGCAGCAGATTTCGTAACCCCCCTTTCCCAATTCCCCCCTTTCGTTCGGCCCGAGGGAGCCCCCGCGCTAGTCGCTATCATCCCTTCGCGTCCGCTTCCAGAGCGGCGACGGCGTAGCCGATCCTCCCTCCAACAAGGGCCTTTTGCGCGCGGCCCCCGCGGCCCGGTCGCCGAGGACCACCGCCTTTGCCCGCGCAGGGGGCTGGTCAAAAAACCTCGGCCTCGGGGGTGGGCCCGGCCGTGGGCCCTGGAAACGTCAGAGGGCCGTCTTGTTGCCGGTGCCGTCTTGCCGTTTTTTCTTGCCGGCTCCGACGCCGTTTTTGTTACCGGTCCCGTCGCCGTTCTTGGATCGGTTCCGGCTCCAGCTCCAGTCCTGGAGCCGTTGTTGTTGCCGTTTCCGGTCGCCATTTTTGTGCCGTTTCCATCTTCAGGGGGCATTTTTTGGAAACGGTGAAAAAACGGCCCTGCCGTTTGCGGGGCCCACAGAGGGTGGGCCCAAGCGCGCGGACGCTCCCAACAGGGAAGCCAGAAACGAGCGTGAGCGACTTGGGGGGAATGCCTCTGGGCCACAGCAACTGGGCACTGCTCGCACTCGGCCCGCGCCTGAGGAAGCAAGCCGTCCCTTTTCTCGAACCCGGGAGAGACCGGCGGGCGGGTCTTTGCTCTGTGCAACAGCGCTTCCACCCCCGATTTGCATCGCGGGCATAACCCCGAAGCGTCGCATCCGAAATTGCGAAGCTGAAAGTGCTGCATGACCTGCTAAATCAAACAGACCACCCGTAGCAAACCCGCTTGCCCCCCTTCCCGCAGCCCAGGAATCACCCCCCACAAAGCTCCAGCCCCTCGCCCCGTAGTGAACGGAGGCCTGGGCACAAAACTTCAACGAGAGATCCTGGACCAGGCCGGCCAGCAGGTCAATCAAATCAGCATGGCCTAGGACATATCCTTTGCCCTCCTTATTCGGAAGTCTGCAGAGCTTGCCCCGCCCCCTAGGCCGACGCCGCGAGTCGGGCGCAGCTGGAACCCATCCTTCCTCGCAAAGCACAGCAACGACTGCACTAACTGGGCCCTTGACAGACCTCCAACGCGCGCGGTTCTTCCAAAGCCTGGGAGTCAGCTGCGCCCATGTCGCTCGCATGCGATCATGCAGCTCTGGCGAAGGACGCCCAAACCAACCAAAAGACACTAACAACTGGCGCGGTAGCTCCAGGCCTGGGCTCTTGGCTCCCAGGTGCACCCCTAGGACGGCGGTTGAGCATCTGCCTGAACCTGCCAGTGGCCTGCCCAGCCTGCCTGCGAAGACTCTGGATGGCACCGGGACCGAGATCGCACAACTCGATGCCCGCGCGACGCCGCGCCGTTTGCTCTCGACGCGCCCAAGCAGACGCAGCCGGCACCGCGGCACACCCTCGGCAAATGATGCGTCCGGGGCGGACAATGCCCCGGTGGCCAGGGCGCCCGCCCCCACGACGGAAGGCCGCGCGTCGGGACAGACGGCGCGGCGACCGATGCTGAATGGGGCAAGTGTTCCTGGCCAGCTTCACCGACCTGCGTAGCTCCCTAATCCTAAAAACAGTTTGCTGGCCTTGCTCAACCTAGACTCAGCTTCCTTCACAGCCATACTGCTGCCCATGGCGGCGTCGCATCCGAAGTCGACCGAAAAGCCTGCTGCTTCGCGCGAGACACCGGCGCTCTGCGGCTGCGGGCGCACCCCGTTCATCATAGGAGCTGAAGGGGCGAGGACAGTGGCCCTCTAAGAAATTCCACGCCCAGCATCCCGCAGCTCTTTCGCTCACATTCTGCCTGACGGGGCCAAGCCTGCCAACGCACTGCGTCGTCCACGCATGACCACAGCCCGCGTGCCTCCACCTCTCCGCGGGCGCGGTCCAGGACTGGAAGCGAAACACAACTTGGCGAACGGGACTCCCAAACACGACCCCGCCACAACGGACCGGGCAGGGTGACTCGCAACGCTGGCGCCGCCATGGCTCCTCTGGAACTTTGGCGCGCGATAACCTTGGGCCTCGAAGGCCGCCGCCAAGTCAGAAATACCCACTTCTGGCGCCGTCCTGATCAAACGATCCAGGCAGAGGGCACCGTAAAACTGTTCGGCGTCAAACAGAAGGGTCGCATCTTGCACCCCAGCCGTCACATTTGTCTCGTCGAGCAGGCTGCGCAGCAATGCGGGTCGCAATGCTGAATTGCCTCTAGCAGCCGTGCCCCAGAATTGATCCAGCCCTGGGCTCCACGCTTCAACAAGACCTGCTCGAGTCCTCCTCCACGGGTTCATCACGTTAGACAGCGTTCCTATCGTGCGGTCTCCTCTTTGGCTGGGTTTGGACACCAGCGCGCAAATCTGAGCAATATTCTGATCAGACCACAGCCCTTCAAACTCTACCAAGTTCAAAGCACTTGGACGGATATCGGAAGTGTCTTCCTTCGGGAGCTTCTGGATCTCGGAAACCTTCAAGACGTCAACCCCCGGGGCCTTCTTCGCAAGGGCTCTGGGAAAAAGGTCAACAATCTGAGACTATTCGATGGGGTCCGATGGGTCCTCTCTGGCTCTCCTACGGGCCCCTTGGGCCTCCCTAGCAATGTCAGCAATCGAGTCGACGGGGTCCAACCGCTTCTCCTGCCACGCCTGCTGTTTGGCTCGCATAACGGCAGTGGGATCAGAATCAACTCTACTAGGCGAGATAACGTCAACTGGCTCTGGCGCTACTTCTTTCACACGCATGTGCAGAATGCCTGGCGTACGTTTCCACTGCTCTGCAGCCCACTTTTCAAAATCTTTTCGTCGGTTGATTAAGCTGCGGGCGTGTGAGCATGCTGCCAGTGTGTCGGCAGTTCTCAAATACCCTCTGGCTCTCGCAACGTCTCACCAAACAGGTTGCGCACACACTGCTCTCTCTCTCTCTCACTCTCTCTCTCTCTGGGGTTCGTCCTTTGCCGTTCGGAACGGCGACGCGTACCTCTTTGAAAACGTGGTGGTGGCTGCACACCACTCCGCAGCTCCATTGCCAAAGCGCGCTCTGCCTGGACTGATTCTGGCCCCGTGGCCAGCCCAAACGATATCTCTGGGGTTCCACCAAAGTGCGGGCACCATGCTTTCCCAGTGACCCGGGACGCAGATGGAATCGAAACGCCCACCCTGGACACCCAACTGGCACAACTGCTGCTGGCACGATCCGCGGCCCTGGGATCAGCCTCGTGCAGACAGCAGTGTCGGGCCTCTCGATCGCCACACCTTTTGATCCGCGGGTCGAGAGCGCACCTCTTCCGGTCGAAGCTAAGCGGGCCGCGCGAAGCTTGAATTTGGCAGAGAAGAGGAGGGGGCCTTCTCTCCTCTCGATCGCCACGCGCGATCCTGAGAGCCCTGAAAGGGGGGGCAGGTCTCCGAGCTGCCCAGCTGGCTCGCCATCCCACTCCATCGGGGGGACACGAAGAACGGTGCCCGAGAGGTGGCGGCCTCCTCGCTGCCCCAAGGAGGCGGGCTCGCCTCGTCAGGAGTTTCGCGCAGCTCTGGATCGAGCCGAGCTCTTCTCGTCCGTCTGGCTTCTGCCCTCCAGAGCGCACTGTTGCCAGTGGGACCGGGGAGCTTCTTGGGCCGTTGGGCCTGCGGAAGTTCACTGGGGAGCAGAAGCTTCCTGTACCAAACAGGCTTGTCAGCGCCTGCAAACGTGACTGCGATGCCGCAGTGAGTCTTCCAAGGGATGCCAAGCACTGGTTCGAGTGAAACTCTCTCTCTCTCTCATCTGTTTCTCTATCTCTCTCTCTCTCTCACACGCACTCGCCCATGACAGCAACGTATATCATTGACCCCTGTCGGTTGCCACAGGTGATCGCGCAAGCTGGTGTGGCCACAACCCATCCCAAAAACTCGTGACTCTTCCAACACATCAACTGGCCAGGGGTGTGGCTCCCATCTCCTAGCACTACGAACAGGCCGGCCAACGAAAGCACAGAACGCGGCCAGTGACCAGGAGGGGGTCGGCGAACCTGGACGGGGGAAGGCGGGAGGAAACGAGGAGGGCGGAAGGCGGGAGAGGCAGGGAGGGAAAGGGGGAGGGGGAAGGGCGAGGGGGAGGGCGGGGGCGACGGGAAGCGGGCATGAGCTCGGCGGAGGTCTGCCGCGCCCCGCGGGCGAACGAGCCCGCGCTGGCGCCGCTGTCGCGCGACCACACCAAAACAACGCATGCGAGAGGCTGGCCCCCTTGAGCTGGCGTGCGCTAGGACGCACGGCACGCCACAGACGCTGCAGCGGTGTGCGACCAACGGCGGGCGGAGACCGAGCATCGTCTGCTGCCTCACTCGCCCGCCAACGGCGAGCGGAAGGTCATGCCGCCGTTGGCCGCAGAGGAAACAAATCGAGCCCAGGGCTACCTGCCCAGGAGACGGAGAGGCGGGGAGAGGGGGACAGGAGGGGAAAGCGGGAGTGAAGGGCGGGGGGAGGGAGGAGGACGGGAGGGGAAAGGGAGGGGAAAGTGAAGAGGAAGGGAAGGGGAAGGGAAGCGGAAGGGAGTGGGCAGAGAGCGAGGAAGTGGAGTGGGGGAGGAGGCGGAGGAGGAGGAGGAGGAGGAGGCGGGGGGACGGGGGTGGCAGAGGAAAGATGACACAGGGAAGGATAATGGTACTACAAATGATAAGGGCGTGACACAAAGCTGGCGACGAGGTCGTGCCGTCCAAGATACAGAATTCCCAGCCCACCCGTATGACAGCGAGGCCGCGCACCAGGAGAAAAGCCACGGGGGGCTACGCGCCACAGAAGAGCACGGTCAACACCACGGGAAATATTTAGGCACTATCACGTCAACGCAGGCTGTGCCAGGCAGCTGCTACCAAAAGACTGCTGGCAGGGGGCTTTGCACTGCGGCCGCGTAGTGGCTGCAAATCATGACGTGGGCAACGACGTGCGTTCATCAACAATTTCTTGTCAGCGGCGACGTTGGTCCAAGACGTGGTTGGCGCAGCGGAGGGGCGCTTCGGGGCCAAATCAGGCACAACAGGAGCAGGGAAGGCGCGGAGGGAGGGCGAGGAAGCCGCCGACGGCAGAGCACGCTCAGACCTTGAAGATAGTTCAGTGTGACGCCAGGGAGCACCCGGCGCGCAAGTTGGAGCTGACGACGCTCACCACTGCCAGGTACAACATCTGAACCCAGCAGCTGTGGACGGCCAGCCTGGATATCACTAGCTAGTCGGGGGGGGGGGGCTCGTGGCCCAACGCGCAAGCTGAAGATGGCGTACTCATCACCGCCGGGAAGACGAACAGACCCCAGAAGCCGGATGTCTGGCTCGGGATCAACTGCATCACGGAGCTGTCCGTGAACGTGCACAGGTTCATATACAGAAGCAGGACCAGCGTGCGTAGGGGGTCAGGATGACAGGCACGAAGCACAGCGTGGAGCAGAAAAAAAACACCATCGCCAGAGATATCATCAGGACCCAGGAAGACCAGAAGAGGCAGAAAACCAGGCTGGGGAACGCCTGAAAGTGGAGGAGCTCGTGGTGGGAGAACGAGATCCCGTGGCACGAGTCCGCGTGGATTAGGAGTTGTATGTGGGAGGGGGGAAAAGGGGAGGAGGAGGAGGAGGAGGAGGAGGAGGAGGAGGAGGAGGAGGAGGAGGACCAGTGCAAACCCAAGACTCATCAACGATGTTGGAATAAACCCTCCCTCCAAGTTCCATCTTCATGGGCCCCTGCAGGGATTCATTTCCACTGAGGGAGGTGCCCTGTTGGGAGACAACCCTTTGAAGATCCTGAAGCGTGCCAAAACACCATTCTCAGGACTTCAACGCCACAAATCAACCCGACTGATGCGTCTTGACGAACATGACTCGCACCATAACACCATTCGTGGGACTTCGAAACAGCGAACCACTCGAAAATACTCATTTCTGGAACGTTCGCCATGAGACTCTGACGCCAGAGCCACAGTTCGAAAACGAAACGTCATCAATCCGTGAAGCTCTTGCGAATGTTCCAGACGAGTGCGCGCGGCGCAAGGGCGGGAGCCACATTCTGAAAACCACCCGCTCTGGAATCCATTAAATTGTTTCGCAGAGTTGAAGGACGAATGCGCGCGACGCTGATGCGGGATCCACATTTTGAGAGCCACCCACCCTCAGTCCCCGAAGCTCTTGCACACGATGAGAGCGAATGCGCGCGGCGCGAAGGCGAAGGCCACATCTTGAACACGATCCGCCCTCCATCTGCGAAGCCCTTGCACATGTTTTAAAACAACAGGTGTGCGCGGCGTTACGGCAGAAGCCACATTTTGAGAAGGGCACGCCCTCCATCCTTGAACTTGTTGCCGACTGTTAAGCTTCAGGACCATCAGTGGGAAGGAAGCCCCAGGCGAAGCGCCCGGCCCGCCCTCCCGACCGACCACGGGGTGCGGCAGGGAGGGGACATCAAGAAGAGGCATGGGGTACGGCCGCAACCATGGTGCTGAAGTCCTGCAGGTGGTCCGCGCACGCGTGGCAGACGAGCGCGGAGGCACGGCGACGCGGCGAGGGCGCCTGCGACGCCCAGCAGATGCAGTCGCTCACGGCGCCGTCGCCGCAGCGTGGACGGAGGCGCGCATGGCGGACGGGGCTGGGCCCGCGCCAGTACACCCAACGAGGCACCCTGGCTTTGACGGCGCCGCCGGGCACGAAAAAAGGTCCAGAAGGCCGCGCGCTGGCGGCTTCGCTCGTGCCCCCGCTTGGGGCAGTCGAGCCTGCGCAGGAGAATGAGGAAGAGAAGCAGGAAGAGCAGAGGGACAGGAGCGGGCGGTGGAGGGGGAGGGGGGAAGAGTCAAGGGCGGGGGAGGAAACGAAGGGGAGGAGAGAAAAAAGGGGAGGAGAGGAGGGGAAAACGAGAATGCGTGGGAGAGGGAAGAGAGGAGGGGGAGGAATAGCAGGAGTAGCGGGAGGGCAGGAGGGCAGGCGCGGAGAAGGACCAGGAACGGAAGGAGGGGGAGGAGGAAAAAAGAAGGGTTGGTCACTCGAGCAGAGAAGTCGTCCTGGAAGGTCTCGAAGGGCACCACGGTCCCAGCCGCTTGGGCCTCCTTTGCAGGAAGCAACCCTCTGATCTGGGTATCGATGCGTCCTGCGAACACCTCCCTTCGGATTCCTCCTCCTCCTCCTACTGCTCCTCCCCCGCCTCCTCCTCCTCCGCCTCCTCCTCCTCGTCCTCCATTCCTTCTCCTTGTGAATACCTCCTCCCTGTCGCACCCCGAGGCCAGTCGGAAGGGCGGGCCGGGCGTTTCGTTTGAGACTTCCCTACCGTTTACAAGCCTGGAGCTTCAAACTGACACCAGGTGCCTTCGCGCCGCGCTCATTCGTTTTACAGGTTCGCAAGAGCTTCACGGATTGAGGGCGGCTCCTTTTCGAAATGTGGCTTTCGCTTAGCACCGCGCACGAATAAATGCAAGAGTTCCACTGGTTCCCATGGCTTACGTACCAGAAACATCGTTTTGGAACGACTCTGGACTGTCAGGGCGCAACAGTTACGCAGGTTCGCTTTGCTGAAGTCCCAGGAACGGCCGTTCTGGCGCGATTTAAGATTGTCCTTATGCAACAGTCGAGTTGACTCGCGGCGTTAAAGTCCTGGGAATGGTGTTTTCGCGCGCTTCCGGATCTCCACACGGTTGTCTCCCAACGAGGCACTTCCCTCAGTGGAAATGAACCCTTGTATAGGGCCTACGAAATGGGAGCTTGGAGGGAGGGTGTATTCTGACATCGTTGATTGGTTTTGGGCTTTCACTGCTCCTCCTCCTCCTCCTCCCTCCTCCTCCTCCTCCCTCCTCCTCCTCCTCCTCCTCCTCCTCCTCCTCCTCCTCCTCCTCCTCCTCCTCCTCCGTTCCTTCTCCTTGTGCATAACTCCTCCCTGTCGCACCCCGAGGCCAGTCGGAAGGGCGGGCCGGGCGTTTCGTTTGAGACTTCCCTACCATTTATGAGCCTGGAGCTTCGATGCTGACCAGGTTCACCCATCGAGGGCAAGTGGTTTTCAAAATGTGGTTATCGCCTTCGCGCCGCGCACGTTCGTCTTGAAAAATCTGCAAGAGCTTCACTGCGTAAGGACACATGGTTTTAAAAATGTGGCTCTCGCCTTCGCGCCGCGCGCATTCAAGTTACAGGTTCGCAAGAGCTTCACGGATTGAGGGCGGCTCCTTTTCGAAATGTGGCTTTCGCTTAGCACCGCGCACGAATAAATGCAAGAGTTTCACTGGTTCCCATGGCTAACGACCAGGAAAATGTGTTGGAACGACTCTGGACTGTCAGGGCGCAACAGTTACGTTGATTCGCTGCGTTGGAGTCCCAGGAACGGCGTTCTGGCGCGATTTAAGACTGTCCTGATGCAACAGTCAGGTTGACTCGCGGCGTTAAAATCCTGGGAATGATGTTTTCGTGCGCTTCAGGATTTCCACACGGTTGTCTCCCAACGAGGCACTTCCCTCAGTGGCGATGAATCCTTGTATGGAGCCTACGAGGACGGAGCTTGGAGGGAGGGTGTATTCTGACATCGTTGATTGGTCTTGGGTTTACACTGCTCCTGCTCCTCCTCCTCCTCCTCCTCCTCCTCCTCCTCCTCCTCCCGCTCATCTTCCTCATCCTCTTCCTCCTCCTTCCTCCATTGCTTGTCCATATGAATTAGTCATCCAAGTTGCGCCCTGAGGCCAGTCGGCCCCGAGGCCCGTCGGAAGGGCTGGCTGGGCGTTTCGCCTGAGATGTCCTTCCCACTGACGGCCCTGAAGCTCGGAAATTGGCAGCAGCTTCACACATGGAGGGAACGTCGATTCCAAAATGTGGTTCTCGCCTTCTCGCCGCGCGCGCTCGTCTTGAAAAGTCGCACAAGTTTCACGGACTGAAGGCGGGTCGTGTTCAAAAGGTTGTTCTCGCCTTAGCGCCGCGCACATTCGATTTGAAAACATGCAAGAGCTTCACGGATTGAAGGCGGGTCGTTTTCAAAATGTGCCTCTCGTCCTCGCGCCGCACGCATTCGTGTCATAAAAAACCGTAAGACCTTCGCGGGTTAAGGACAACTGGTTTTCAAAATGGAATTCTCGCTTTAGCGCCGCGAAGATTCGGCTTACAACCTGCAAAGAGTTTCACGGATGGACGGCTGGTCCGTTTCAAATGTGGTTCTGGCCTCAGCGCCGCGCACACTCGTTTCAAGAGCGTCACGGGTTCCCACGGCGAACGCACCAAAAACTGTGTTTTGGAACGAGTCAGGACTGTCAGGGCGCAGCGGTTACGTTGATTCGTTGTGCTGAAGTCCCAGGAACGGCGTTCTGGCGCGATTTAGGATCGCTTTGATGCGCTTCCGGATCTCCACACGCTTGTCCCCCAACGAGGCACTTCCCTCAGTAGAAATGAATCCTTGTAGGGGTCAATGAAGAAATAGCTTGGAGGGAGGGTGTATTCTGACATCGTTGGTGGGCCCCGGGATTACACTGGTCCTCCTCCTCCTCTTCCTCCTCCTCCATTCCTTTTCCTTCTACATTACTCCTCCCTGTTGCACCCCGAGGGCAGCTGAAAGGGCTGGCAGGGCGTTTCGCCTGACATTTCCTTCCCACTACTGATCCTGAAGGTTTGAAATTGGCAACAGATTCACAAATGAAGACAGGGCCGAATCCAAAATGTGGCTCTCGCCTTCGCGCCGCGCGCGCTCGTCTTCAAACTGTGCACGAGTTTCACGGATTGAGGGCGGGTCGTTTTCAAAATGTGGCTCTCGCCTTAGCGCCGCGCACATTCGTCTTACAACTTTGCAAAGATCATCACGACTAGAGGGCGGGTCGTTTTCAAAATGTGGATCGTGCCTTCGCGCCGCACGCATCCGCTACAACAAAGTAAAGGAGTTCCGCCGATTGACGGCGGGTGGTTCTTGAAATGTGGCTGACGCGCTGCGCACATTCGTCTTGCAACTTTACAAAGAGCTTCACGAATGGAAGGCGGGTCGTTTTCAAAATATGGTCCTCGCCATAGCGCCGCGCACATTCGCATTAACGAATTGCAAGGAGCTTCACAGATGGAGGGCGACTCCTTTTTCAAAATGTGGATCCCGCCTTTGCGGCGCACACTCGTCCTAAACATTTGCAAGAGTTTCAGTGGTTCCCATGGTAGAGAACCAGAAGCAGTGTTTCAGAACAGTTCCGGACTGTCAAGGAGCACGGTGACGTTGATTCACGGTGCTGAAGTCCCAGAAATTGTGATCTGGCACGATTCAGGGCCGTCACGACGCAGTAGTCAGGTTGACTTGCGGCGTTGAAGTCCTGATAGTGGTGTTTTCGCACGCTCAGGATTTCCACACGGTTGTCTCCCAACGGGGCACTTTCCACAATGGAAATGAATATTGTATGGGGCCTATGAAGAGGGAGCTTGGAGGAAGGATGTATTTTGTCATCGTTGATAAGTCTTCGATTCACAATGGTCCTCCTCCTCCTTCTCCTCCTTTTCTCTTCCAGTCGGAATGACGGACCAGTCGTCCCGTCTCGCATGAGACGTCCTTCCCATGAACGATCCTGAGGCTTAACAACGGCAACCGTTTGACACATGGAGGGCGGGTCGCTTCCAAAATGTGGCTCTCGCCTGGAACGCCGCGCACGTTAGTTCTAAAAAGTTGCATGGGTTTCACAGGTTAGGAGCGGGTCGCGTTCAAAAGATGGTTCTCGCCTGAGCGCCGCGCACATTCGGCCTAAAGAAATGACAGGTGGTGGGCGGGTCGTTTACAAAATGTGGCTCTCGCCTTTGCGCCGCACGTATTCGTCCTAACAAATTGCAAGAGCATCGAGTATTGAAGGCGGGTGGCTTTCAGAATGCGGTTCCCGCCTCAGGAGGGCGGGTCGTCTTCAAAATGCGGCTTTCGCCTTAGCGCCGCGCACATTCGTCTTAAAGAATTGCAAGAGCTTCACAGATGGAGGGTGGCTCATTTCCAAAATGTGGTTATTGCATTAGCGCAGCGCACATTCGTCTTAGAGAATGGCAAGAGCTTCACGGATGGAGGGTGGCTTATTTTCAAAATGTGGCTCCCGCCTTGGCGACGCGCGCACTCGTCTTAAACATCTGCGAGAGTTTCGCGGGGCATATGAAGAGGTAGCTTGGAGGGAGAGTTGATTACAATATCGTTGCTGAGTCTTGGGTTTACACTGGTCCTCCTCCTCCTCCTCAGGCAATCGGGGCCCGACTTGTCCACAGCTTTAAGCTAGGCTGCACGGTAGGTCGCGCCTCCCGCCTTCTCCTAGCGTTTGGGGGACGTCAAAGCAGCTGAAGTGTTTTCGATATTTCTAGACGACGAAGGGAAGCATATTCGTTTCAGTTCATACGCGCAGGTAGTGATTGCTGTGGAGCCCGGACAGGCCATCCCAAACGCGAGGCCGTACACGTTGGCGAATTGGATCGTCCCCGACATCGACAATGCCGTGCTTGAACAGAATCCTTGACCAGCTCTTCGTAATCCAGGTGCCCAGATCGAGGTCCTAACATCATCGAGCTTTTCGCAGTCGAGCCCATTCAAGAGTCACCATCGCTTACAATCCAGGCTTGTGTCTGGGCGCCGCTGGATTGTTGGAACTACTTGCACCGACTCTTAGGCATTATACGAAGTCCAGACCCAGCCAGCAAAAATCGTAATCGGTTCTACGGGAACATGGGTTTCGAAGCTTGTGTTGGGCGTGGCGATTTGCAGACAGACCGGCTATATCAGAGCAGGCCCACCCACGGTACTTGCGCTGCTTTGTCATGTCCCTGGCTACCAGCCAAAGCAAATGTACCTCTCGGCGAGCGGCCAGTTGCAGAATCTTCAAAATAGTCGTGAAATAGTAGCACGTGTGCAGGTAGAATGTCCACTCGTTCCTAACGACTTCCTCACCAGTAACGGCGCCATCGACCTGATCCAGATATGCGCAGCGGCTTCGTATCTCAACATTAAGGTAATTTTCCTTGGAGGGTTTGACGGGCCTTTAGCCCTTGGTTGCGCGATGGGAGTCCCCGATCACCAACATCAGAAAGAGGTTCTGCCGCTCTCTACATAGACGAAACCCACTATGCCAGTGAAAACCGTCGGAAGTTACACGGGTGCGCACACGGAATTTCATGAGTATGCTCGGGACCATCGTGCGCGGCAGCGTTAAAAAGATCGTTTGAAGTATCACGGTCGTGTTAGCCTGTGGACATCTTACCGCGCTCTTGTCCAGCCGCACTCGAAGCTGAACGCGGGCGCAATGTGGTACCATGCCAAGCGTGCCAAGCAGCGCGGCGACATGATTCCCAGCATCAGCGGCGGGCTCCCGGCATTGTGCTGAGTTGGTTCTTGGTGGGACTCGCGAATGCCAGTCAAGAAGCCATTGATGTTATGTCAGCTGAGCCTGGCCAGCGAACGGCAGTCGTATCTGTATGGTGGTTGGGGCTTACAGGCTGAGCCTGGCCAGCGCAAGGTACTTCGTTCAGAATGGTAGGTGCAACTTCTGTCAGTACATGTATTGCCCATATATATGATATGCCGTCCTTTTTCGCACAATGCCACGATAACGCTCTGAACTGCATGGATATGTCAGCGTCATTTAGTGGGCAAGCCGCTACTTGTTGATGATGTGGGACCTTTGTGATGTTCGCACTTCCTTGCATGGTGGTAGTACGCCTCAATTTGTTCGGTTGCGGAACATGGATTGCAAACAGTTATGTAGAATCCGCTGTGGTGCGTTTTAACAGCGAAGTTGTGGCATTTGCTCCTCGGAATGGATGTGGTGAGTCGAGGTGGAGCAACGAGGCTTTCTCTCGAAGTTAACGATCCCGTTGTGGAGCCGTACCTTGGTATGCAATTCGGTGCTGCGCGGTGATCAGTGCTTTCGGTGCTGTAGTGGGCCGCATCGAATTCCTTTCGTATCAGCTTGTTTGCTTCACCTTATGCATCACGCAGTTCTCGAGGCGAGTTGTTTTTGCATTGTTTCTGGATCCTGCACGTATTCGGGATCGTGGTGGTCACGGACCAGTTTAAGGGTGTGCCTCGCCCTCGGAACCACAATGGGGGACTGTTGAGGCACATCTATTTCAGAAGTCTCCCGCACAATCTGCTGTGGTGCATTTAACCGCTACGTTCTGGCATTTGCTCCTCGGAATGGGTGTGGTGAGTCGGGGTGAAGCAAGGAGGCTGTTTCGCGGAGTTGACGATCCCGTGTGGAGCCGCATCTTGGAGTATGGAATTGGGGTTGCCCGATGACAAGTGCTGATTCGGTGCTGCAGTGGGCCGCATCGAGTTCCCTTCGGTTCAGCTTGTTTGCTTCAGCTGATACATCATGCAATTATCTTTCGGAGTTGCTTCTGGCATTTTTGGAGGCTCCGGCGCTTCCTCTTCGGGTTCGTGGTGGTCACGGATCAGTTTAAGGGTGTGGCTTGCGCCTTGTGAGCAATGTGAGATAGCTTATCTCTTGTCTCTTGTCTCCTCCTCCTCGTTCTCTTCCTCCTCCTCCTCAATGCTGAGGACGGTCCCTCGTCGTCATCCTACCCCTCCTCCCCTCCTCCTCCTCCTCCTCCTCCTCCTCCTCCTCCTCCTCCTCCTCTTCCTTCTCCTCCCCCTCCTCCTCCCCGTCCCCGCTTGTTCCTGATCATGTTCTTGCTCCTCCCCTTCCCCCTCCCTCCCCTTCCATCCCCTTCCGTCATGAGTAGCTCCTCCCTGTCGCACCCCCTGGCGTGTCGGTAAGGCGGGCCGGGCGTTTCCTTTGACTTACTCAGCATTTCCGGCCCCGAAGCTTGAAGTTTAAGGCAGCTTCGCGGACGGAGGGCGAATGGCTTCAACATGTGGCTCTCGCCTTAGCGCCGTGCACCTTCGCTCTAAAGTTTCCAACCCTTTCAAAAATGCAGGTCAGATCGTTGTTAAAATGTGGCTCTCACCTTAGCGCCGCGCACATTCGTTAGTACAGTTCGCAACAGCTTCATGGATATAGGGCGAGTCCTTTTCGAAATGTGGCTCTTGCCTGAACACCGCGCACATTCATGTTCATTGCTTGCAGCGGTTTCACATGTGATAGTCGGGTCGGTTTCAAAATGTGGCTCTCGCCTTAGCGCCGCGCAGATTCGTCGCAAAACCTTGCAGCAGCTTCAAATATGGAGGGCGGGTCCTTTAAACATGTGGCTCTCGCCTTAGCGCCGCGCACCCTCAGTCTTAAACAGTTTGAAGGGTTCGTATCGTTGAAATCCCAGGAATTGTTTTCTAGCACGGTTTAGACATGTCAGAACGCAACAATCACAATAATTCGCAGTGGTGGAATCTCAGGAATGGTGTCCTGGCACGACTTAGGATTGTCAGGACGCAACCGTCATCTTAATTCGGGGCGCTGACATCCCAGGAATGGTGGTTTGGCACGATTTGTGATTATCCGACGTTTGTCTTCCAATGAGGCATTTCCTGCACGTAAGATAAATTATTGTAGGAACCCATGGAGAGGGAACTTGGAGGAAGGGGTTGTTGCAACGTCGTTGGTGCGTCTTGGATTTAACACTGGCCACCCCTCCTCCCCATCGTCCCCCTCCGCTTCTTCCTCCTCGCGCATATCATACTTATCACCCTCATGTTTCTCTTCTCCACATGATGTTCCTGCACCTCCTCCCACTCCTCCGCCCCCTCATCCTCCCCCTCATCCTCCTCATTATTCCCCCCTCCTCCTCCCCCTTTTCCTCCTGTTCATCATCATCATCATCATCATCATCATCATCATCATCATCATCATCATCATCATCATCATCATCATCATCATCATCATCATCATCACCAACACCATCATCATCATCATCATCACCACCACCATTGGTTCCCTCACGTTATCATTCCCGTGATTTCCCTACTGCTCTTCCTCCTCCTCCTCCTCCTCCTCCTCCTCCTCCTCCTCCTCCTCCTCCCCCTAAATCACATTATCCTCATACTCAGTATCAGACTGTTATTCCTAATCTTCATCATCATCATTATCATCACCAGCATCATCATCATCAGCATCTGCATCTTCATCAGCATCATCATCATCGCCATCATCATCAGCATCATCATCAGCAGCATCATCATCAGCAGCATCATCATCGTCAGCAGCAGCAGCATCGTAATCATCACCATCGTCATCATCACTAGCACCATCCTCGTCATCGCTAGCACCACCGTCATCATCACCAGAATCACCCTCTTCAACATCCAACGGTCCTCATCATCGTCCACCTCCTCCTTCTGCCTGATCATATTCTTACTGCCCCTTCGGGTCCTTCACGCGGTGCTGGTTCACACACAAGCAGCAAATCCACACGTACACAGCTTTGGGGTCGAGCCTCCGAGGGCAGCCGAAACGGAAAGGGGGGAGGAGGGGAGGTTGGCGGTGCCCCCCTCCCCACCCCTCCCTCCGCCCTTCCCCATCATCATCACTCGCCTTCCTCTCATCACCCTCCTTCCTGTTCTCCTCCCCCCTCCTCGCCCTCCCGCCCCCCCCCCCCCGGCACCGACCCTCTCAGAACCCACATTCGGAGTTCTCCTTTTCCATTTCCTCCACTTCGTCCTCCTCCTCCTCCTCCTCATCATCATCATCA